GCTGCCTCAAATATTTTTCGTGCGTTCAGTCGGTGAATATTTTCGATATACCCTTTCAAAAGGGTTATTGATCTAGATAAGTCAGGATGATATTCAAGAACCTATTTATTTTAAAATTTCTTCCAAACACTACAAGTATGAAAAGGTACCAAGGATGCATTACAAATTCCGTTAAATGTGTCCCTATTTATATAACTTTATAATAAAATATTGGAGTATATTTATAATAATTTTCATGGCATCCTATATTATTATATTTTTGCATATCCCTATAGAGCATCTAAAATTCGTTCCTCTGAACTCTCAATTCTTCTTTCCTGTTGCGTCTTGGATTTCGTTTTATTCTGTTTCTGTAGTTATTTTTTTGGTTGAGCTTGAGAAAATAAAAATTGATTCTAGAACCTGTTTTTTGGCTTTGCCCGGGTCTGGTCTCCTCTCCGTGGCCGCTTTGTACTGGCCTTTTGAAATATCTTTGGCTTTGTACTTGTTTCGTTGCTGCTGCTGCTGATGTTTTTAGGCGTTTCTTCGGCTCTTGAATCTTGTTTGAGCCTTTTGTCCGATACAAAAAAACATAAAAAAAAGCAACAAAAAGGGAGTAGTAGTAGGAGAGCCAAACATTTTTTGTAAGAGATCCCAGAGTCAGACCCGAAACTCCGGACGGGACTGGGCTTTCGTTTTCGTTTGTCTGGCTAGCCCGACCCATCCATTTAATAAGGCACATATTTTGTATAATTTATACCATTATTTATTTTTTCTCGTTTTTTCGAAAGTTTATCAAAAGCGAAAAGCAAAATTTCTAAGCTTGTATTTGATATATGAACTTGCATGGCTTTTGGGAGAGTTCAGCTTTTGTTTTTTTATATAATACTCGAATCTCGAATCGACTGCGTCAAATGTTTTCTCAGTAAAGCGAAAGACCTTGAGAATATTATAAATTAACGTTTAGAAAAAGCGATGATCGCCAGCTTAAGTATAAATAATAATCATGTACAAACAATACTGGGGCCAAGTGTGCACACAAACACGTTAATGGTATAAAAAAAATACATTTGAAAATGTTGAAAAATACCTGTAGAAATATATACTACACGTTCAGGTAGCATCTATTGTGCATAGACACTGCAATTGTTAAGGTTTTCGCATGCCAGTCAAAATGCAAATGAATGGATGTGGGAACCTTATGAGTCACGACTTGATTTTCGCCTAAAATATGATAAGTAGCCTGAAGTTTCGCGAATTCTATAGAAGCTCGTCGGTTATCATTGTTTACTTATTTCGAATTCAAGGCTACGGATACGAAAATGCGATCAAACCAGACACGATCACTTTCGGCCTTCATAATCAGCTGTTTGCTGGCAAAAATAGCTAATGATTTATAGTTGGGATATTGGGCTTTTGGGAACATTGCCTTTATTCTTCTTCACTTAAACGCATACTTAATCAAAATATCTTTATCTTTGTGTACACATGGGTTAAAATTTGGTCTTTAAATGAATTGGTTAGGGGTGTATCTATAGCGATCTCTCTTTCGCTATTGAACGCCTTCTGGGAATGGCTAAAAAAGGTGTTACGGTAAGACAATCCTTTCTTGGTAAGCACTTTTGATCTTGAACCTCAGATTAACAGGGTTTTTTCCTGAAAACTTCTAATAATTTATAGCACACCTCTTGATTTGTAAATATTTAGTGATAGGTAACCTATTTTTAGAGGCCATGGACTTTATTGGCACATCTTAATCCCATCTTGTCTGATGAAATTCCATAGATTCTGGGCCAGTCCCCCCCTTTTTCCAGAAACTGGTTGTATTTCGGCCATTTCCTATGATCTTGCACAGATCTTTCCATCCGCGAAATGTGTCAAAAAGCTTTGGTCTGCAACCGTGTTAAATGCAAAGCTCGATCGCTAAATTCCAAAGACGCGATCATTAATCGAATTAGCATGGCGTATAGTCACTATATACAGCTGTGTTCACGGAAATAGCAGTGCGACAGACGAACAACTTCAAAACGTTTTTTTGTACATATTCCTTTTTGCAAGCTGATCTATTGCACATTGTTTTTGTAAAATGGAACATAAAGATAAGAATCAAGAAAAAATTCCGTTAGATTTGCTCTATTTTTATGTTTTATTGATATTTTTTCACATATGCAGCTCGTTTTGGCCGATCACTGAAATAGCAGTATTTAATTTTCTTTCGCAAAAAGTGCCGAAATTTCTTTTAATTTTGTAAAAAATGACTTTAATTAAGGTCGTTATTATAGTTTATACTATAATACACCTTTACAACGCAAAATAAAATTATTTTAGTGGGCGCAGGACCTCACTGCTCCATGAGAGAAAGATATCAGATAATTTAGCCTAGAAAGAAGGGCAAAACATGTAAAGAGTCTCTAAATCTTTCAAATTGTTCTTTTAAAATAGTTTATAAGTCATAAAATATGAACCGAACCCAAAAAAACCGAGGTACGATTCGCAAAAACACAATTGTACAGGCTCGACGCGTACTTCGCTTCAGCAAAGCTCGTCCTTTTGCATCCTCTAGGGATATATGAGCGGGAATTGGGATGGGAATCAGTCATGGGACCATTCGCCGGGGACTTATTGAATAAATTTTAGATTCGCGAAGTCCATGGAAAATGTCACTGCTTGGTTACAGGCATATCAAGGCCAGATTGGAGTTCGCCAATAGCCACTTGAACTGCCACATATCAAATTGCGTAATATCCTTTGGACAAATGACTCCAAACTGGTTTTATTTGGTGGAATAGGACAAGACAATATGTCCGTCGACCTCCAGATATATAGTACCCCCCAAACCATACGCTGAAGACGCTGGCCTAAAAATCATGGTATGGGTATACATTTCATACAACGATGTAGGTCCCGTATATATGATCTGTCGGATCAAAGACCATTATGTTTATGTCCAAATATTAAAAACTGTCTTGCAGCCGTATCCTGATGAAAATATGCCATTAATTTGGACATTTCAGCAGGACAGTGACCCTAATCATACCAGCAAGGTGGCCAAGGAGTGGGTTCTTAATGAAAAAGTGGATGCACTGCCATGGCCTGCACAGTCCCCGGATATTATTCCGATCGAAAACTTATGGGGGACATCAAGGGCTACGTATTAAAGAAGTTTCCGACTTCTAAGCCGCAGCTTTGGCAATTTGTGCAGGAGGAATGAGGCCATATTCCCCTCAAGCGTTGCTAAGACTTGGTGGACTCCTTGCCACCCAGGTTTGAGGCTATGATAGCTTCTAAAGGCTATTTAACAAAATATTAGATCATAGTAAATTAGAATCTAAGAAGAAGTAGGTTTCTTATACGATATTTTTAAATTTATGATGAATTTTAGTTTTTCACTGCTATTTCAATGAACGGCATAATATAGACCTTTTTTGTTCATATTAGCTATATCTTCTAAAAGATTTATGTTACCTAAATTAAATGATTGTGGTATTGTTAACAATTAAATACACTAAGCCTTTATGAAAAAAAAATTTATGAAAATAGTGTTTGTAACAGGATTTTCCGATCTTAAACGTGCAGGTCGTTGGGCACTGCTATTTCCGTGAACACAGCTGTACATAGCAGTGACAAGCGCAGAACGCTGAAGATTGGATCTGAATCGTGGCAGGTGCCACACAGGTAAGCCCACAAAAAGATAAAAAGAAACAGTCTGAAAAACACATAGAAAACATAGCAAGAAACCAGTAATACACGCGACAAAAATGCACAACCAGCAAATCAGGTGAAGTAAACCGGTGAATTAATAGCTGCAGCAACAACAACGACCGACTAAAATAAAAGCAAAGTCTAAACAAAAACATAGAAAAAAGCAAAGAAAAAACCATCAAAGAAACCTGCTTTGGAACATAGCTGGAATACCGGAGTTGACACTTGGTATGGTGTGGATTTTGGGGAGTGCCTGGAAGAAGAAGGCGGTGGTGGTGTTGGCGGCGGAGGAGAAAGAGGAGGTGGGTTGAAAAACCCGTCGCACTGAAAGCGAATTATGAATAGCGCCAAAAAGAGAGGCCGCCAAGAGATAAGCGAGTGCGAAAAAGAGAAGCAATATCGCATGCATGTCGCATTCGCACTTATGCAATGCGATCGATCGAGAGAAAGGAGGGGGCAAGTGGCGGTGCGAGCCAGAGGGGAGGCAATAAATCAAAACAATTATTATGTAAGGCGGTGTTTTGCGCTAGTGCGGCCAAAACAGTTAGCAGGGCAACACGTTTTAGAGGTACGCAATATAAATGTATTTTAATTTCGTTTATTTAGTCTATTGATTCAGCTTGGGTACACCGAAAAAAATATGGCATCATTAGTACATGAATAATAAATAAGATCGTTGCGGAGTTCCTATAGATATTTAAACTTATATTTGTTTTATCTTCTCTATATTTGATGAAAATAAAATTATCGAAGTATAACTTCGATAAAAATTCAAAAACTATATTCAGTGTTTATTATTTTAATATATTTGAAAGTTTATTTAGCAAAATGATTTAAAATTAATTGAAACAGTATATAAACATTTAAATATTTAAATAAATAATACAAGTTTTTATCCCCTTAGGGATCCCATTAGTAAATAATACAATTAGGCATAATTTGTGCTCAGTGCATCGGTTAAGGCTGATTGCAGCTTCTCTCGCCTCTCGCTTCCCACTGGAAGTGCTTACTCTTTTCCCCAATCCCGAAGCGCTTTGCGTGTGTAAATTGTTTATTTAATTTCATTATTGAAAATGCTATTTTTATGGCTTTCAATTTGGCTGGCTAACAAATCAAGTGAATTTTTATTAAGTTTGTTAAATCATGGCAAATGATTCAATGATATTTGCTGGGGGGATTACACATTGTACAATATATTTTGCACATTTATGTTTAGCACGTTTCTCCAACTAATTGATTTAATTGATATTCTCGCCGCGAATTCTGCCCAAGTTCAGTGGATTTCAAACTGTCTCAAGGCTGCAAATTTCTCGACTTACCGCTAAATTAAATAGAAACCGAAACAATTCCCTTTCAAATGTCTCGTTGTTGTTGTTGCTGTTGTTTTTTTGCGCTTCTGCTGCGTTGTTAAATTTGGAAATGTTGTTGCAGTTGCTGATGCTTTTGCCACACTCTTGCTTTTTTTTTTTGTATGCAAACGCTGTTGTCACTCACACTCGCGCTTATTGTTGTTGTTTAAGCCTTACTTATCTTTTAATGAAGGAGCTGCAGCAGCAACAACCACAGGCGATGAGGAGCCGAACGACGAACGACAAACGAAAACGAACACTCGAAAAAGTCTATCGTCAGAAAGTAACTGTTGACAGGAGAGCGAGAGAGAGCGGACACGACGGCGGCGGTGTTGTTGTTTTCCTGCTTGGTCGCTGCAGATCCGTTGGAACGTTGTTAACGCTTTCGCGGGCAAATCGAAACTGATTTCGGCAGGTGAGACTGAGAGACGACGGAGTCACAGTCACTACTTCACCAGGTAAGTCCCGATCTTTATCGCCGTGTATTGCATACTTTCAGGTTGCGCACTGGAAATATAGGAGATCGGGAAGGGACTGCAATATCTACTACATTTTATTAGAATATACTTTTTAAAAATCAATAAATACAAAAGTACATACATATTTAAAAACAATACCAATATTCCTTTTACTTTTTAGGTATAAATATTTAGATTTTATTGCCTTTATATGTATGTAAATATAAAAAATATATTCTTCTAAAATAAAAAATAATATAAATTAAATATTAAAAATAAGATCCTGCTCTACAGATAATTTTCCATTCACACCAGGCTTTCAATAACACCCCCTAAATCCACATGCATATTTCAATACGTGCTTTTAAAATCCATTTTGGGTGGAATTAGGCTGAGACTGTTTTGAGATTATGGTTTCGCTGCAGATCCGTTGGAACGTTGTTAACGCTTTCGCGGGCAAATCGTAACCAGTTGCCAATTCAGCTATTTTCCCACTATATCCCAATATATCGATATTTTTTGCCCAAATATCGAAATCGCGATATTTTTGTTTGATATTTTTAGATATTTTCTCCTTGGTCACTCCGAATTTCAAAGCAAAATGTTAGTTAAGGGGGGGGTAAGGTTAATTCGGTGCAAAAATGCACACTTTTCAAAAAAATGTTGTGGCGAAACGGCTTAAGTTAGCTTAACGAATTAAATACCATATAATAACACAACATTTGAACAGTTTTTGATAAATTTTTTATTGAAAAATATTTAGAGGTAGAGGAGTTATAGGGAATCTCCTGAGTCGTCTCAAAAAAAAGTTGGTTTGCGGTGTACATCCTAACTGTCCACAGAATCATCCGATCTACAAAAATTATACCTCATTCGTTAAAGGATAAGCGTCCCGAGGTATTCACAAAGAGTTTTTATTTTTAAAATTTTTTCCCTATTTTTTATCAAAATTTGAAGTCCAACCCCCGATTTTTGACTAAAAAATTAAGTTAATTTGTTAAATAAAAAATATAAGAAAATTAAAAATGAAAAAAAGCTCGACGTGAATACCTGTAGATTTATCTAAAGAAGTTATGTTCCAAATTTTACCGATTGGTTCAGTAGATTTTGAGTTATCGTGTACACCGATTTTCAAAATGGCATTTTTCAGGAGAGCGCTTTAAACTTTGTTATTCTCATACATTGAACACCAACCGACCTTCGTTCAACTCCGCATAACTTCGTCAATTTCACTCTGATCGATGTAAAACTTGGAAACAATATTCTTAAGATGTTGAACTTTAAAAATAAAAAATAAAAAAAAATTACGGAAAAAAAAAGAATTAAATACCTTACCCCCCCCCCACCTTAAAACCCCCAAATGATAAAAACCCACTTCTCATTACCTACTAGCCATTGGATAATGCTTTCTTTTTACGCAAATCGAATAATTACTAATGGCAGCTGTATATTTTCCCACACGTGTGTAGGCGAAAAAAAAGTGCAAGTTGCGGCCAAGTGGGGAACCCAAGAGGAATCATCCTATTCACTACAGATTAACGCTTTCAATAACACCCCTAAATCCACATGCATACATATGTTTTTCAATATATGCTTTTAAAATCCATTTTGGGTGGAATTAGGCTGAGATTACTTTAGTCCCGTGTTCAGATTATGGTTTCGCTTTCATGCCTCTTTTACCCACAGAACCCTTGACTCCATTGTCTTGCATTTCAGGCCGATTTCATGCCTATTGTCTGTCCTCTTATCTGTTGTCCAACGCTGCTGTTTCCAAGCGAGTGCCTCACCTGTATGGAAATCAATTGGCAGGATGAGGGAAACGGTTTCTGCATCTGCATATTCCTTTCCTTCTTTTCCTGCATTCTCCGTGCAAGCCAAGTCCAGTGAACATTAATGTGGGATGATCTCTTCGGGGACGATGCCTGTGAAAAAGTAATCAATTTTTACTAAATACTCTCCAACAAGGAATATGTAATCTAGGCTAATAATCGAAGAGCAATGGGGTGGCAGCGGCAAATAGACAGCTGGTCACCTGTACTCTTTTGGCTTGCTCTGACAGCTGACAACTGTCACTTTCGGCCTGCCTCACCTGACGTGTGCTCATGGAATTTATTTAATTTCCGCCTGGCCATTGAAGTAAATTGACTTTCGCCGCCCTCCCACACACCTACTTCTCTATTTCACTGCATGTGTGTTGGGGACAAACAAAAGCTGTGTGCTAATGCAAATTTAGCCCGATCTTTAGATAAGTATCGGGTATGGAATAGCTAGCCAAAGTTGCACAAAGCATTTTACAGAGAAAATATGGTTATTGTAAATAATAAATCATAAGGGAAAATATTTAAATATCTAATATTATGGTATTTCTATGTAATAAAAATTCCTATCAATGTTCGATGATTCTACCTTTTTGTTTTTTGCTTTTCTAATTAATTTTTATTATTAAAATAAATAAAAATTAATCGATATTGTACATGTTTTTCGCAGTGCTATTTAGATGTTTTTAGGGACTCCGTGGCGACATTTCGCTGCTGCGCTCTTATCGCTTTAATTAGTTTTTCAAAAAGTTGGACCGACAAAAACCCTCAGAATAGGCAACGGGACGAAGGGGCAGCAGACAGACAGATAGTTGGGATAGAACTGTATACTGGCAATTATGAAATTGCTAATAAGTCCGCACTTATTGCGGGCCAAATGCATTTAAGGCGCGACTCCTTTACATTTAATTAAGGCCAAGTGAAGGGCGCCACCTGCTCCGCTTTCCGATTTTCCAGATTTCCTGTTTATCTTTTCCTGGGGGCACCGACGGCGCCTTCTTTTAGCCCCCTGCCAATTTGCATGAATATTTATAGGAAATGCAACTCTCGGGAAAGCGTCGCCGGATTAGGCACCAAATTTATATGCACAAAAAATAAAGGAAAAATGAAAGAAAATCAACAAAAACAAAAATCGTTAAAGAAACGAAGAAGGTGCGAATGCAAAACTCCTTGAGATTCGGCCAAAAGTTTCCGGCACCTGCAATAAAAAAAGTTTTCCCTAATCCTCCAGGGGCTTTTCGTAATAAATGATTTAAACTTGCATTTGCAATGAAGGAGAAAAACTTAATGAACGAAAGCTGCACAGATATCTGAAGAATATCGAAAAATCTCAAATCCCCAGGGAAATTTAACGGTGGGAATTTTTTAGTAGATACATATTACCAGAGATTGTTTAAGATTAATTTTTAAACAAATTCAGCAAAACAAAATATAAAAAATATTATATTTTTATTTTCTATTATTTTTATTCCTCATTTATTATTTTTTTTTACCAAATTAATTTCGATGAAAGAACGAGATCCGAGGAAACTCAAATGAACTTTTTTTTGACCAAAGAAACCGTGCAAAAATCGTTCAATCTTCTTAAGCAAGCGACCAGGCGCCGAGAAAACACAACAGGCCAACGAAACCGTTTCAATTCAGCTGAGAAATAATAAAAAATAAACGAACAACTTTACGCTCGCAGCTGCGAATTGTAATTAGCCGGCATGGCATACGCGTGCGTGTGTATGTGTACGAATGTGTGGGTATGTTCGTGTTTGCTTTGTCACGGTTCTTTGCTTACAGCCGTCTCGCTCTAGCGTTCGTCGGGCCAGCTGGCCATCCCTTTCGCTCGAGAGTCGAGTGTATTTTACAGTTTTGAAACGATCATGCGGGCGTCTGGCAAATGGGAGGGCTGCGAGCCGTGTGCTTCTCAGTGCTGCTTGCCTGGTATTCACATGGATCACTTTATCGATTTTACGAAGAAGCGAAAATATGCGATCGATTTAATTTTTGTGATCTCGGAATCGGAATCATTTTCAACCGCCGCCAGATGATCGTGCGGCTTTTTTCAGTGCGAAGCTAAAATCGACCGCGACAGCGGAGACAAAGCACCGCAAAAGAGCATCACCACTGACAACGACGACCAGAGCGATCGTCAAGTGGCGGAATAAATACACGGAACGTGTGTTTTCTGTTAATAAACCAGAAAAGTAAAATAAAAAGAGGAAAAAAAGTACTTGGAGATGCCGGGGATTGAACCCGGGGCCTCTCACATGCAAAGCGAGCGCTCTACCACTGAGCTACATCCCCTGTGCCGGCAATGTCCGCTAAATGCTGTTACAAGCCAAGAGCCCAAGACGAAATGGTGACGCAGCAGTTAGTAAATGTTTGTATGTTGTTGGTTTTGCGAAACGAAAAGTTTAGTGCATAAGGCAACAAATTGTATTTTAATTAAAAAACAAAACGTAATAAAGAATATGAGAACAAATGAAATATATGAAATTGATTAAGTAAGGCTTATTTATTTGTTTAACTTCCTAACAATACATTTTTTACAACTCAGTTGGTTTTACTTACAACTCTTTTTTTTTGCTCCTTACTTGTCGTACTCTATAGTTTGAAAACATCCCTATTCCCGGTTAGGCTTGTGCAAAATGGAATTTGGACACCGGTATGTGCAAGGGGGATGTAGCTCAGTGGTAGAGCGCTCGCTTTGCATGTGAGAGGCCCCGGGTTCAATCCCCGGCATCTCCAAGTACATTTTTTGTTCTTGTTTTTTTTTTCTAATCTTTCTTTTTTCATGTGTGTGTTTTTTTTTCGTTTTCAGCTCTTTAAATGCGTTTTGGAGCCGGTGGCCATGGCCAGTGACTTGATTTATGCGCAACGAGGCGGCAATAATGAATTATTTATGCCAATTTACGGCTGCCAGGCAGGTCTGCATGTCAATTGGCAAGAGCACACAACTATTTCGGGGAAAGAGGGGGCTGGCCGTGGCCAAAACTTGAACGATTCTGTTGGCCAGTGTTTGACTTCTGGCAGCATTTAAGGCCGAGCCGTAGCCACAATGCAGTCAAGTGGTTAAAATGTGTATACCCAAAGTGCTGTGAAAGGAAATTGGCTTGTTCT